AGGAGAAATTTTTTTGACATCCAGTTTGTAACTGATTCAATACAGTCATGAATGGTATAGATGTTATTGAGGTTATTTGGGCTTACTGAGAAGTAAAGTTGCGTGTCGTCAGCATAACAGTAGTAGGAGAAATCACTGATAGTATTAAGCAAATGACCCAGAGGCAGCATGAAAAGGGAAAAGAGAACTGGTTCCAGAATCAACCCCTGAGGGACCCCACATACAAGGGAAGCATAGGAGGAAACATAGTTATTTACGTGAAAATTGAATGATCTGTTTGACAGATAGGATGAAAACCATTTTAAGGCAGTACCAGAGATACCAACCCAGTTCGTTAGCCTATCAAGTAAGTTAGTGTGATCGATTGTGTCAAAGGCTGCAGATAGGTCAAGAAGTATTAGAACTGAATTTTCCCCTTTATCTGCTCACATATGAATATCATTTGTTACTCTTATTAATGCTGTCTCAGTACTGTGTTTTTTGTGGAAGCTAGATTGCAATTTGTCAAAGATATTGTTTCCTTCGAGTAGTTCAAAGAGCTGGTGACCTATAACACAATTCGTTTAAAGGAGAACTCCAGTTTATATTGACCTGACGTATTTCCTGTTATTGTGGCTCTAGATGTCACACCAACTTTACACTCTTCACCTGTATGCTGATGTGACTTGTTGCCATACCTAGCTTGTTTATTGGTAATATTTTTTATAACATAATTCTTATTGTTACCACGACAGTTCCATAAAATATCATGATACCTTTTTTCAGTCCATGTTACCCACCCCTAAAAAGGGTGTAATATATTACTGAAAGTACTGGTGAACTGGATCTGTACACTATAGCCTTAAACACATTTATAGTTCTGAATAAAAGTTTTCATAAACTTAACAGGAATAAAAAGGCAGTCTTTAGTTTCCAGCGACTCCTGTAACTCTTAATTTGAGTAACTGAAACATGTGTCTTTGCTGGTGGTTAGCACCGTTGCCTCGCAGCTAGAAGGTCGCCAGTTTGCGTCTCGGTGAGGACACCCGGGATCTTTCTGCGTGCAGTTTGCATGTTCTCCCCGTGCAGTGTTGGTTCTCTCCGGGTTTTCCAGGTTCCTCCCACAAGTCCAAAAACATGTTGACGTTAATTTCATTTTCACCTCAGTCAGACACTTTTGATAGCCTTCACTTTTGATACACTTTAAAAGAAAACAGGAACTGAAGACTACATGCAAGATATAAACAAAAACTAATAAACGATATGTACAAACTGTAAAACTGTAAAAACTGTATGTATGGTTAGGTGCATAATAGATTATTGTGGTGGGAGCATTTGAAGAGGAGGTTCCGCACATTTCACTGCCTGTGGATAGAAACTGTTCTGCAGTCTGTTTGTGTGTGCCCTTAATGTCCTGTATCTCCTTCCAGTGGGGAGGGAGCTAAACAGTTCATGTTCAGAGTGGGTGGGGTCTTTGGAGATGCAGCTGGCTTTCCTGTGAAGTCTGCCGGCATAAATCTCATTTCTGAGGAAGTATAGTCTTTGCTGGGCTTTACCCACTTCCGGTGCAATGTATGCTGACCAGGTGAGATCAGCTAAGAAGTGAACTCCCAGATATTTGAAGCAGTCTAACCTCTGTACTCCCTCTCCACTGGTGTACAGTCCAGAGCGCTCTGCCTGTTTTGATCTTCTGAAGTCTCTGATGATTTCTTTGGATTTTGATGTGTTCAACTCCAGGTTGTTATGGGAACACCACAGAGGTATTGGATCTCCTTCCTGTAGGCTGTCTCATTGTTATCCTGTATCAGACCTACAACAGCTGTGTCATCAGCAAACTTTGCAAACCTGTTCTTGGAATAGATGGGTGAGCAGTGGTGGGTAAAGAGAGAGTAGAGGAAAGGACTTAGAACACACCCTTTGAGGTGTTCCAGTGCTTCAGGTCAGGGTGTGGTGTCCCAGCACCTTCAAATGGAATCCTGAGGACCCCTCAGCTGTGACTCTGAAGGAGCCCTTGAAGGAGAAGGTCCAGCGGATTAGAGAAGGTTCTCCTTATGGTCACCTTCTAGACTGGAGGCTTCTGTCTGTTATTGTTAAATGTAGCGTGATAATGGGTATGAGGGCAACTGGGTGGCAGTCATTCAGGCAGCTTAACGTGTTTTTCTTGGGTACTGAGATGATGAGGTAGCCTTAAGGCATGTGGGAATGACACAATGCAGCAGGAAGAAGTTGAATTTGGTGGTAAACACACCTGCCAGCTGGTCTGCACAGGTGTCCAAAACCCTGTCCAGCCCTGTTGCCTTCCTGGTGTTGTTTCTGCTCAAGCTGGTTCTGATCTGGTGTTGCTGGACCTATATCCACTGGTCTTCCTTCGTCAGTTCAGGCTGTGTTTTGCTTGTCGAATCAAGCAAAGAACTGGTTCAGGGTATCAGGGAGAATGATATTCATGGGGCCTATGACTGCGCTGTTGTTTTTGTAGCCAGTGATGTTTTTTATCCTGTGCCACATGTTCTTGGAATCAGTTTTAAGTCACTACTTGGGGGAGACCAGTCTAAATCCTTCATTCCAGCCTGATTTAGCCATTTCTTTACAAGTTTTGATGTGTTTGTCGTCACTGCCTTGTTAGAACACTCAACTGTTTCCAAGATCCAACCTTCTGGCTGATGATTTTAGGTTTTCCTGAACAATGTGGAGGCGATCCTCCTTCCTCATTATTTTATTTACTTTGTGTAAAGCTCCAGTTCTACTGGTGTTCATGGTGTTAAAGGCCCCACCTTCTCACCTCCAAACATAATTCTGGTAACTATGACATCAGTAACAATATTTTGAGTTCAAAATCTACAAATCATTTTTTACCGAGCATTCAACCATCAGAAATAAACACATTTAAATGGTCTAACAAGCATTTCCTAAATGATGGTTATGACCAAGATCTGATATACAACAGAAGTGAATACAGTAAAGTAATAAATGATTCAAAAGTGTATCAATTTTCAGTAACTGCATTACTTCTAGGTTCAACAGTAGAGTACTTGTCAAGTTAAGGTCAAGTCATTGTTAGATATGTGGCACATTTGAAACAACAGCCTTTTAGCAAAAGTTCTTTCCAGCAGAAAAATATCATTGGCGTTGTGGCTAAATTAGGTATGGGACTTTAATGGGTTAATTTCAATTAATTAATTAATTACAGAAAAAATAACGCGCTAAAAAATATTGCATTTCATTGCATCTTTCTCAGTTCTCTAATGTCTGGCACACCAGTAGCACTGATGGACACACTCCAGCCAGTAGGTGACGATAATGCACCTAAAGTTCATTTGCTAGTCACAAAGAGGACGCACAGGAAGCACTGAGTGATGTCATCGCACAAGAAAGATTGGTGAACAGTGATGAAAGACAAGATCAGATTGCTTGGCTTGTTGGGTTGAAAGTTTTTGTTTCTTTTGTGTTTTTTTTGATGGAAAGTTGTTGGGCGGAATAGTTTTTTTATTATTAAGGCCTGATGCTATGTGTCCATGGGGTGATTTTGCCTAAATTTTGCCAAATTTGCATAAAGTTGAAGAAAAGTCTACTAAATGCAAATAAGTTTGTAGGTCACGCTCTGCCTCGACGCTCGAAACGCCCTACAATACTCCACAACATGACACGGGGCGTTTCACATGCACAATGTAAGGGAAGCGAGAAATTGACGGTTCCCACGGACACGTAGCATGAGACACCAACCTTCATTTTCCATCTTTGTAAAATCTCATGGTCATATTTTTTAGCCCCTTGGGAAATCTTTGTTTAATGTGGAGCCTTGATGCCGACATGTAGATCAGATACAGCTAATAGGTCCAAAACTGAGGAAGTTCTGGTCTTCACAAGTCATTTTATAACCATGTTCATGCAATTATGCTGGCTGGAAATCACATGTGGGCTTTTTTCCCCCAATGATTGCAGGTTTTCTAATTGGTGTCAGTGCTTAAAGGTGCCTGTATTTTCCATATAGTCTTTCTTAGGAATTGTTATTGTTGTTGTTGTTGTTGTTGTTGTTGCTTCTGCTGTTTTCTTGATTTATTGATTTGTTCTTACAAATAAAAACACTCCCTTTCAATTTAGGAATAATGCAATGCAACTCCAAGGTGATAACTAATGAAATTGATGGTTTATTGCATTCTGTGCAAACATATAATGGAAATTTAACCAGCGGCAAAACAGCTGAATCATTCATGTAAACACCATTTGTAGCTTGGTATTAGTCTATTATTGAATAAATATTGGTGTTATCCTTCCTGAAGTATACATTTCACTTTAATCTTCAAACAAAAAGTTAAGCTGGTTTGAAGAATTAAAATGAAGGCAATATTTCCCCTCATGCTGTCCATGTGTGTTTGTGTGTGTTTCTTGTGCATGTACAAATATTTGACCATGCTTTCACATGGCAGTCATAATCCAGATGGTACTGTTTGTCGTACTTCCACATCGAATGTCCCTGTGTTTCTTCCCCAAAATGTCCATTCATATGCATGTGCCCAGACACTGACAGCCAGCCATGCCTCGTGCCTCGCTCTGTGCAGCATACATTGTGAGTTCATGTTGTGTAACACATGCCCATTCTGCTGTCAGGTTGGCTGTGGTTGTGGTGTGTACATGTGTCTGAGTGTGCATCAGATCTGTATTAACTGCCAAAACTTCGGCCAAAGCAAATTTCTAATTTCAAATTAGTGCCTTGTCAGAGAATGTGAAGAGGCACTGTGTAAACTGGCAAGGGTCATTGTTTCTGGCCCAGCATGCTAATTGTTTGCTTAATGTACAAAATTAAAGGTTTGCTGGTAAAAAAGACACTCATTTACACATTGTAAGTATCACTGCAGATGTGTTAACCAAGTTAGTAGCAGTTAGCAATGAGTGCTTTGTTTGATTTTTGGAGTCTTTTTGGGAGAAACTGAGAGCAAAAGGTTAAAAGAGTGTGTTAATTTATCCAGAAAATGGGACGATATGTTGATGTAAGAAACACAGCTAAGGTGCTATTTACAATTGCATTGTCCTCAGTGAATATTTTAGATGTCAGAATGGCAGGCCTCCTAACAAGCTGTTCTCCCCATAAAACCCAACTGAGTGCCCCTGTTCACTTTGCACATGCCCAGACTGCAAGTGCTGGTTTCCTGCCAAGCATAACTCCGTGACAAGAGCTGAGTGTAGAACATGACTGGCCTGTAGACCCAATCTGCATCTTTGTAAACGCATGAATGTTTCTTCTCCCCAACTTAGAACTGAACATTTTAGAGAACTGTATCAGTTCAAATGTAATATAATTAAATATTATACACACTTATCTACATGTATTGCATTGAATGTGCCAAATAAATAAATAAATAAATAAATAAAACAACTGACTGTACAAGTATGCATCACAATATAATACAGCCAACTAACTTCTCCCACTGTGACGAAAGTGATACAAAACCGATGACAGTGATTCAACTGCCATAGGTTTGCTGTTGCTGTGTCTGTTTTGTTGTACTTATTATCTTCCAAATGAGTTTATTATTATTATTATTATTGTTATTATTATTATTATTTCTTCTCTCTTTCACTCTCCCTTTTCTTGATCTTTTGTAGAAGCCGGGGATGGATGTCGCTGATGGTTATGTGACATTTGTCCGTCATTCCCAGGACATGCTACGGGAGAAGGTCAATGAGGAGGTGTACATTGAAAGACTATTTGATGTAAGTAAGCCACAGCACATCTTCCTCCTCTAAATGTAGAATTAGCATTGACCTGTCAGTCAAATGATTACATTCATGTGGTAGCTGATCGAAATGTGACCTTTAATCTCAGTGGAAGGCAAGAAAACCACAGTTCTATGTTCTTTGGTTGTTTTCAGAGATTTTTAACAGGACTTTCTTTAAATAGTTTGAGTGGAATTCAGAATTGTTTTCGTAGTTTTTTTCTCTTTTATTACCTGATTTTCAACAAAAAAACAAAAACAAAAACAAGTATAATAATGGCATGATTATGCCAACCAAAATGAAATTGTTTGGATGTTTAAGTGCATTCTGAAACATCTGTAAGTCTCATTATTACATTACTCCTATATGTCTTGTCTGTCATTCTGTCAACATCTTATGGAGATTTGTGTTGTTGGATCTTTGCAAGTCACTTTGTGAAGCTGATTATACTAACACATCAGAGTCATTCTCCATAGCTGGTAAACTGTGATCAGCTAAAGCCGTAATCAACTTGCGGTTTGCTGCCATTATGTGAGAGGAGGTCAAATAACACCAAAACAATCAGTAAGTCTCTAAGCCTGGCTGCTGAGCCTCCTCTTAGGTCAAACCAGAGGATTTCTCCCCAAAATATGTTGAAAAAAAAATCCCTGCTGATGAGTTACACTTTGAGCTAAGGCTCTGTGCAGAGCCATTGCTACTTCATTTTTTGAGTGTGTATTTTAAAGCTGCAGTGCTCCCTTCTCACCATGCAGTCCTTTGTCTCTTGGTGTTTATATGCAGTTTTTACTGATCTTGAAAAGGGATTACACTGAGCAGTGCTCTCCTTTTCTGAAATCAGCAAACAACAGTTAATCAATTGAAAATGAGGCACAAAAGATTACTTTGTAAAATGGCTTACTTTCAGGTTTGCAGACAGAAACCCACCACAGATTCTGTACACATTTTCTTTTTCTGGATTTAGGCCAGCTTGTCTCATCAGCTACTTTAAAAGTAGCAAAAAAACTCTGAGGTAAGTGAGGGTGGATTTTTCTTAAAATGACACTGCCAGTGCTTTTAATTGAGAGCTCTTCTTCAACTACCACATCCATCCATGCATCCATTATCTATACACCACTTAATCCTCACTAAGGTCGCAGGGGGCCTGGAGTCTATCCCAGCTGACTCAGGGCGAAGGCAGGGGACACCCTGGACAGGTCGGCAGTCTATCACAGGGCCAAGCACACTCACATTCACACCTACGGACAATTTAGAATCACCAGTTAACCTAAACATGTTTTTGGACTGTGTGGGAGGAAGCTGGAGAACCTGGAGAGAACCAACTCTGCACGGGGAGAACATGCAAACTCGGGTGTCCTCACCGGGACACGGACCTTCTTGCTGCGAGGCAATGATGCTAACCACCGCGCCACCTTGCAGCCCCTAGCAACAAACATAATCAATAAAAATGATAAAACTACAAAATAAGAGTCAAGTTGAAACAAACCAGACTTATCATTTTGACATGATAAACTTGAATTATTTTTGCTTTTAATGATGGCAGGTGAGCTAAAAATGGAAACAAATACAAATAAGGTGGATGCTCTTAATCAAGTCATCCAGGTTGTGCAATCTCCCCAACCTGACTGTGTGTGTGCTCATGACTGCAGACTCCAGTGTAGGCGTGTATACAGTTGCATCTATCTGTCCATGCCATTGTGTTGAATCAATGCCTTGAGGTGTATTCTGCCTCCTATCGTCTCCCTCTCTGTTTGTCCTGACAGAGGGTGACAGAGAGGTGTCTTGTGCTGGATGTTTGCTGTTTGTTGTTGCAGCTTGACCCGTTGCTTTGCCATGTATCCTCTTTTCCTCCACAAGAGCATTTCTGCTGGGATTTGTCTCAGCCTTGCTTCTCCTTGTTGTCATTCCATATCAGTTCTCCCTGCAGCATCACCAAGGCCGATGAAGGTGTCTGTGCTACTCTCTGCAGCTCTGTTGTGCTTTTCTTGTCACTTCCCCCCTTTTTTTTATCTCTCTCTCTCTCTCTCTCTCTCTCTCTCTCTCACGTTCTTTCTCTCTCGCTCACTCTTTCCTTTTTATCTGGGTAAGAATGGTGACACACAAGGCTTGACTTGTGGCATGAAGTTGTTTCAGATCCTTATCAGTCCGCTAAAGTAAATGTTTTGGTTGCATGTCTGTGGTATGTCTTAGTTCCACTCTACAAAACCAAACTACAGAGGATTCCCCCTGTGCTAATGTAGATGCCATACTATCATCAAGCTTAACATACACTGATGAGCCAAAACCTTCCACAGAGACAACAAATAAAACTAAGTCAACATCAAGAACTAATATAAATGCTGAACAAAGGTACTGCTGGGGTCCAGACCAGTCTCCTGCATTTCTGCTAATTCAAGTAATTGAACCTATAATTATGCAGGTTGGTTTAATTAGATCAGTTAAACAGTAAAAGTAATGACATCAACTCAACATTTGGGCAAAAAAGTCAAAGCTACAAAACTGCAAATAAAGCATAAGTTTTGAATACCTGAACATAGGATTAAAAACATTCATCACTGTGACTTCTAACACGAGTGTAGGTTGTCCTCTCAAGACTTGATATGAATCTTAGAGTGTTGTGGTACAAAACATCTGAAGAGAGAAGGATAGGTGGTGGGGATTTAAATAATGTCACACAGCAACTAAAATCTCATTTAATAAGCTTCCTGGATATGTAGCCCCATTTGACTCTATATCAAAAAATAAATGACATAATCTAAGCATAGTTACTATAGTGAGTGGCCTAATCTTATACACTTTGTGTCACTGAGGTGCCATCATAGGCTGATAGTCAAAGCTGATATCAACATACAGTACTGCTGTAAATATAGCATGACTGCCATCAGTCTCATGCATCAAGTATAAATTCACTTTACGTGTAATGTAGTCATGATGAGGACTGTAGTTGCATCAGTGACCTTCCACATAATTAAAACTAATTGCCTAACATTGTGTAGGTCCCTCTTGTGCAGCCAAAACAGCTCTGATCAATTTAGGCACTGACATGTTACCTCTGGGTGTGTCCTGTGGAGTCTGGCAGCAGGACATTGGCAGCAGATTCTTTGGGTACTGTGGGTTGTGGGGTGGAGCCGCCATAGATCGGGCTGGTTCTGGCACTTTCTGCTGATGGTTAATCAGATTTGGATCTGGGGATTTGGAAGGCTGGGTCAAAATCTCGGGCCCTTTCACGTGTTCCTCAAACCTCCTCAAATTGGAGCAATTTTTGTGATGTCCTACTGGGGGAGGACAATATGCACTCCTGTCAGCCTTTGCCATGGGGGGGTGTGTCTGCAACAATGTTCAGGTAGCTGCTGCATGTCAAAGTAATGTCTACATGAACACTAGGACCCAAGGACCATGAGATGATCAATATCATTGATTTCAACTGTTAGTGGCTTTAATGTTTGGGCTAATCAGCGTATATAAAACATCATCACATCAATAAATCACATTTTAAATGAATCAGAAGGATATGAGGTCAGCCTAATGTTCTTAATAAATTCAGACCGACTCAACACTTTGACTTGATGTGAAAAGAACCTGATGACAAAGCAATTAAACAGAACAACGAGAAAAATGTCAGTAAAGTATGTGTTATTGTCACAGCACCGTTAAAAGTAGCATTTTATGTTAATAGTGATGTTTATATTTATCATATTTAGAACTGAGGAAAAGCTCATTTTCCGAGGTGAGACAGTTGTTTGTTTTTTAAAATGTACTATTTACCAGCAGTAAGATGAAAATATCACGCCAGCTGTGATGAAGCTCTGGACTCAATCTGAGCATGGCTGCGATATGATTTAACTGCAGCCTATACACTGTGATTCTGTGTGTGACAGCTCATATGTTAGTGTAATTATTTAGAATTCTAATTAATTAATGAAGTCATTGCTATTTTTCCTCATGCATAAAGCCAGCAACTGACTTTAAAGAAGCTCAGATGAATATGTTAAATAAAGTTTAACGGAGGAGTCCTTAAATCAACTGGAAGTAACAAACTAAACTTCAACTCCTATTAACATTTTGTCAAAAGCTGGATTACATTTGTGGTTAGTGAGTCAATAATCAGACTTTAACCCTCGAGATTTTTTTATTTTTTTATTTTTTTGAAGACATTCCATTTTGTAATAGATGTAAAATTGATGAGCAAAGTGAATGAGAAAGGTATTTTGTGATTTGGCAGCAAACTGACTTTTGCCCTCTGTGATGTTTTTGGACCAATATCAGGACTGAAATGTGAAAATAGGCCCTCCCTGAATTGTTTCACACAAGTCAAAGTATGTTCACTTGCCACTGAAATGCTACTACCCCTGCAAATGAGTGATTTAGCCCAGCAAAAGAGGTGCACAAGGGTGTGAGGGGTGTTGTCTTCAGAAAATAAGGTCAGAATGGATTCCCCCTAATCTTAGCTTTGTTTGGTGACCCCTCCCTTGATGTACTTTATTTATCTATCTGTTTTGTCCATTCCCCCCAGTGAGGATTACAACTGTTCTCCCATACACACTCACAAAAGGTCAGCTCCCTACTCAGAAATACTGCATTTTAGCATGTTGGTCGTTTCCTAAAACTGCATATATTTATTTAATCGTGTGTTTGGAAACACTAGTTTTGAACTAAGGCTCACACTGTCACTGTCAGATTAACAAGGTGCTTTTTTAAAATTTAATTGTACAGAAAGTTTGCACTGATGTGAGATTTCCAGTTCCACCTGTTTTCAAAACACAGTTTTTTAAAGAATTTCATATTTTTCATTAAAAAAATGGGAAAGAAACATGGAACGGTGTAAACAAGTAAGAAAAGAAAGCAAAAATGGTTATTGGAAAATAGTTTCACTCAGCTACATGTAATCCATTTTGCTTTTTCACGACTACAAAGACATTTTATGATGTTTTGTTGACCTGGGAGGACACATTTTTCATGTGTTTTGACAAGATTAAAGTCCTTCAGTGGGTTAAGTGTAG